GTAGAAATTCATTTTTTAATCGAAAGTCTTCCTTGGCGTTGCCGTCCTGACTGCTTAAGGTCCCTAATATTTATGGAAGGGGTCTTTATATCTCGCGGTCCGCTTGAGTAGTTATCGATTATAAACAAGACTGTTTCAGTACTGTGTCAAAGTACTCTCTATTCACTGTTCTTCCCTCCACTGCAACGAGAGAGAATAATGTGCTTTGGTTTTCACACGGCTTTTCCCGAGATGGAGTAGGATGTTGTTATTGTCGCTAGATCAGAGTTTTTGATTTTAAGGTCAACATTGTTCCAGACATGAAACTTTTTTCCCATTGACCTTTCCATCGTGTTTTTTCTCCGTTTGCTGTGCCTAAAGTAGTGTCTAGGAGAGAAGAGAAGATTTATCATGAACGAACGAGGAAGAGGTGTAATTGTAACGAAGAAAAAGTGAGGTAGATGGTCTTTTTCGAGGTGTTCATTGCGTGTAGTATTTGGTGACTAAGTGTCGAGAACAACACATTCTGTCACGCTATGAAACCCACATGATTACGCAATAGTACAGAAATCAAACGTGTTATAAACTACTCAACAAAAAGCTTTCGAACTCTGCGTAAAGATCACGCGATCTTACCGAGATCTGATTCACTCCTTTAAATAGAATGCTTTCAAGTTCAGGTTCTCGGAATCACGAGTACATTTCACGGATGTGTTGTTGTCGGAAATTTGCGATGGAGTCGCTTCTAAATAACGGATGATGAGGAAGGAAAGATCATCGCTAGAGCTGAGCAGGTGAGAGAGAAGAAAGAGGTCTGCCGAGACGTTATTCGTGAATTTGAGAGCACAGAAGTTGAGTTGGAAGTGAACTTTATCACCGCTAAAGGCAAAGTTTCCCAAGCAACTGGGAAAGCTTAAGCAACTGGAGCAGGAAGCCATTACTGCACTAGAGAAGGCTCGCTTGTCGAGGATTGAGAAATTAAATTCTGGAAAAGCATCGGTTGTCTCTTTGGAAAAGCAACTTGACCAAGCAGTCGAGTTCAGTAACGATCTGACTGAAAGAAGCTCAAGCTCAGACATAATTCAAGACAAGAATAATGTTGAAGAACGAATCGAAGACCTCATCAAGATTAGTGCTAGTACTTCCGGTCACTCCAATAAACGAGAGAGAGCTCATTATAGACAACTTCACACATTTGATTATTATGAGTAGTGTAGCATCTTTTTAGGCCGACAAATCGGTGAATCAAATCTAAAGGTAATATGTTGGAGGTTATCCTTTCGATTTCGTTGTCATGGAAAAGTAAGTTACTGTCCCTTCAAGAAGAATGGAATCCTCTGTGAGAAAAAAGTTACAAGGAGCTTTTAGCCTTCTGCTGTTCTACCTTGCATCGTAACTGTCGAGAGCATTTTGTTTTGGTTGTTGGGTAAATTCACCACCTTTTCCTCCATGAAGAATTTCAAAGATGTTGTTATTTTCTTTAAACCAGAGTTATAAACGGTTAACATTGTTCTAGACTTTAAACTATTTCCCATTCCACTGGTTAGACCTCGTGTAAATAACTGGCTCATTGTGTTCGGTTTTTGAGTTAATTCACCACCTTTTCATACATGAAGGAGGATGTTGTTATTTTGTTTTAATCAGAGTTCTTAACGATCAACATTGTTCCAGACTTTCAGTATTCCCCGTTCCTCCGTTCTTCGTGTGTCTTCTCCGTTTGCTGCTCCCATGTTCGAGTGTAGGAGATGCGGTAAACGAGGAGAGAAGAACAGCGGTTAATGTAATGAAGAGAAAATGGCGTTGATTATTTTTTCCTTGCGTTTATAGCATGTTGAGAACAACACGTTCGGTCACGTTCTAAAAGGTGCATAATCACTCAACGATAGAAAAATGAGAAGATAAATTGATCAGAGCAAAGCTGTCAAACTCTGCGCCGAAATCACGCGATCCTTAAAGATCTGATTCGCTGCTTTAAATAGAATGCTAATTTAATATCACTTTCTCAGAATCACAAACAATTTCCGGGTGTGTTTTAGTCGGCAATTCGTGATGGAGTCGCTTCTGAAAAACCTCAAAGAACATATAAAATCAGTCTATTTGTTGGGATACTAACACCAAACCCAAGACCATTATTTGTCTTCATACGCTCTGCTGTGAATGCGTGGAGAGACATGCACTTACGAGACAAAAACAAGGGTTTTATCGATGCCCCAAGTGTCAGGTACAACTTCTTATCCCTAAAGGAGATTGTTTTGATAATCTTCCGAGCAGTTTTCTTTGGAAAAGCAATTTGATCAAGCATTTGAGTTCAGTAACAACCTGGTTGATAGAAGCTCTAGCTCAGACATGATGCAAAACAAGAAGAATGTGGAGAAACGATTCGGAAGAGCTCATCAAGACTACAACACCAGCGCTTCCCGTTAGTTCGTTTCTGGAATTTGTATCGACATGTGAACTAAAGAGTTTGAGTTTGGACTTACGAAATTCAGCGAAACAGATGTGCAGGGATCGACAGTAGAATGATTCTCTGTGTGAAAGCGTTGGATGGCAAAGGACAGTTTTTGTATAAGTTTGGAGAAAAAGGAAATGGTGACGGACGGTTGAAACTGCTTTATGGCTTATGTATTGAAAAGTATTGCAACGTATTAGCCTGATGCGACGTGTAGAATAATCGCATTCAACTGTTTACATTATAAAGAACTTTTATTGGACAGACAAGCACTAATGTTCACCCTCTATAAAGAAAAAAGTTTGCATTCTGAAATGAATGCCCATTTTTGAAAGTAACAATCAATTCTTCGTAAACAAACCTGAGAATATCTTCAAGTTTTATTTGATAATCAATTTACGGAAAGTCGTGTTAGTGTGGCGCAAGAGAATTCTAAAGGAAATGGCAAGAATCGGCAACTGCCGAGAGTTAAAAAAATTTCTTTCGATTTATCACTTCAGTGATCAGATTGTTTGTGTTGTAAATTGACCACGAAATCTAAGTGAGGAATAACTGATGATCTGTCAGGTCCTCTTCACAGTCTTGTATTTGACTTGTTAATGTCTTATATCAAATCATTAGATGAGATACCTTATAGAAAGATGCCAAAATGGGGACAAACAGCACGATTCTTTAGCTTGATCAACAAAAAACAGAAATTAGGCCTTGATGTAAAACAAAGGAAGTCAAAAAACGGAAAAATCCGTCAAGTGAAGTAAACTGGTAATTGAAATTAGCGGATGAATTACATAAACCCATCAAGCGTAACTTTACTCTGCGGCGTACAATTGTAAATCATATTGATGAAATATGGGCTGCAGATTTGTTTGAAATGCAAGAGTTCAGTAAATGGAACAAAGGCTATCGATATCTTCTCATGGTTATTGATATGTTCCGTAAATACGGTTGGATTGAGCCTTTGAAAGACGAAAAGGGTGAATCTATAAGCCAAGATTTCAATAACATATTCAAAGAAGGAAGAAAGCCAGAGTTCTTATGGACTGACAAAGGTAAAGAATTTTACAATAGACACGTTGAAGAATTGCTGAATAAAAATAATTTCAAATTATATTCAACTGAAAATGAAGAGAAATCATTTGTTGTCGAACGTTGGAATCGTACAATTAAAAACAAGATGTGGAAACAGTTTACTGTCCAAGGAAATACCCAATATCTTGACATTTTACCAAAAAAACTGAGTCAGTACGACAATAACAAACACAATTCAATAAAAATGACACCTATTGAAGCCTCCAAAAAAGTCAAATGAACGAATAGTCTTTTTCACTCTATACGGTGATATCAATACATCAAAACAAAAATCAAAATATAAAATCGGTGATAAGGTTCGAATATCAAAATACAAAAGACAGTTGTTCGATAAGGGGTACACTCCAAATTGGACAGAAGAGATATTCACTATTGACAAAATACCATACACGAATCCAATCCCCTATTTAAACAACGAAGAAATTAGAGGCAGTTTTTATGAGCCTGAATTATTAAGAGCTAAACAAGAAATATACAGAATTAAAAGTATAAATAAAGAGAGATTATAAGAATCAACAAGCTCTGGTTAAATGGAAGGGTTATGATGATGATTTCAACAGTTGGGTTCCTATCAAGGATTTACAAGCTATTTAAAGTTTCATTTCCATGGTAACCAAACATGCCTGTGATGTTCATTTGGACAATTTGAACTAAATATATAATATATAATGTTGGTAAAAGAACAGACCTTTTTAAAAATGTAAAATTAGATGGATCAAAAGAAAATGAATATTTAAAAATAGATGTAATAAAAGGATATTTCAGTCCAATATCAAAAAAATGTTATTTCGATTTCTTGTGTTTAATGTTTTATGAAGAAGATACTTGGATTAGTGCAGATATAAGAGGATCTTTCATGATAAAAGGTGATAATGGTTAAAAAGGTTTTAATGGAATTTTTCACAAGAATAATGAGGGTTATGGAGTGCAATATCTGTTGAAAAAGATGAAAATGGAAAATTAAATCTAAAAATTATTGATTAAGAAAATGAATAAATATGAATCAACAGTTTTGTAAATGTTGATTAATAAAAGTGGTTATTTCATTGAAATTATTGCATACTAGATAATTATTATCTTTTCAACACATTGCCTGAATAATTCTTGTTCTGGCCTCAATACAATTTTTCGTCCCGGCTTCTTTAATTCACAATAAATGACCTTCTCATTGTTTACAGTAATGATAAAATCAAATATTCCTTTATGGTAAACTTTTTGCATATTTTTATTGCGGCCTAGAAGATCATCGAAAGTATGAACAATATGAATTCTATCACTGTTTTCCTAATGTTCAAAAATAGACATCATAAGATCGTATTCACTCGTTATACAAA